TTCTATTCTATTCTATTCTATTCTATTCTATTCTATTCTATTCTATTCTATTGCATGCCATTGCCATGGCGGCACAGTGGTTAGATTGCAGTATTGCAGGCCAACTCTGCCCACTGCCAGCAGTTCAATCCTGACCAGCTCAAGGTTGACTCAGCCTTCCATCTTTCCGAGATCATTGAAATGAGGACGCAGATTGTTGGGGTCAATACGTTGACATAAATTCCCCAGAGAATGCTATAAAGTACTGTGAGATGGTATATAAGTCTTCTCTAAGTGCTACTGATATTGGGGCCTTGATGCAGTTTTGTGCAAATAAACATTGGCTGAAAGGAGTACTTGAAATCCAGATGTTTTTTTCAAACTGTTTGAATCATAACTGGCAGGGAAATGGGGCACCCAGAGAGACTACAGCAGTCTTAACTACTTTTTAAAGGGGGGGGGGGGGATTCTGGGAGTTGAAGTACACACATCATTGAAAAGGAATAAGGGCATCCAGAGAGGCTAGAGCAGTGTTTATCAATCTTACAACTTCAAGATGTCTGGACTTCAACTCCCAGAATTCCCCAGCCACCATGGGAATGCTGGGAGTTAAAGTCCACACATCACTGACAGGCAGGGAGGTAGCCAAAGAGGCTAGAGCAGAGCTTCTCAACTTTAGCACATTTAAAGTATCCGGATGCTGGCTGGGGAATTCTGGGAGTTGAAGTCCAGGCATCTTAAAGCAGCCAAAGTTGAGAAGCACTAGATTAGACCATCAACATTTCACACACTCCTCATCATCGTGTGAATCTTCTTTCAGCTCCTGAGGATAACCAACATTTTTCCCTGGACATTTTTTTCACGGAAAGGACCATTGTTCCAATTCAGCTTGTTTTCCAAGAAGCATTCTCCAAACACACCAGTTCCCCCAGTTTCCCCCCCCGCCAACCTCCCAACTAGCCCGCTAGGAAATCCATCCCACGCTTCACGTCACTGCCGCACATAGAAACCAGGCTGCAGACGGCTCAAGTCAGCCAGCCAAGCTGTATAGAGGTGGAAACTGCAGACACAGCAGTGATGTCATAGGAAGTGGAGAGGAGCAGGAATACATGGCTCTCTCCAGTCCATCATCCCCTGCTCACCCCTCACCCCCCCCTTGTGAAAAAGATTGTTAGAATAGATGGATGAGAATCTGATACAATTCACTATTTCTTCTTCTTTTCCCCTCTACCGTCGCCATACAGGTGGTTCTTTGGGCAAATCTCTCGCTCAGAAGCGGTGCTCCGGCTGATGTCGGAAAAAAACAAATCCGGTGCTTTCCTGGTTCGGATCAGTGAGAAAATTGGAGCGGATTTCGTACTTTCAGGTAAGACTTTGTGCTGAAAAAAAAAACAAAACATACCGGATTCTTGTGAAGGTAATCCTCCACTTTACCTGTTTGTTTAGTGCAGGGGTGTCGAATTCAATTTCATTGAGGGTTGCATCAGGGTTGTGCTTGACCTTGGAGGGCCAGGGGATGGGTGTGGCCATACCGGGCGTGGCCATGGCAGGTGTGGTCGGGATGGGCGTGGCCATGGTAGGTGGGACTCGTGTCGGGGGCACCTGTGGTGTCCAAGTGCTAACCCTCCCCCATTCTCATTCTCATCTTCCTTCCTTCCTTCTTTTACCTTCCTTCTTCCTTCTCTTCCTCCTTCCCCTCTTTCGTTCTTTTTCCTTCCCTGCTCTCTTCCCGCGTTCCCTTCTTTTTCTTTCCTCTTTCCCTTTCTTCCTGTCCCTTCCTGCATGCTCAAATGCAAAAGGGGAAACGTTTCTAATTTGTTCCTAATTTGTTTTGACAGCCCTCTCTGCATCCAGCCGGTTCAGGCCAGTTCTTGCAAACTGGATGTTAAATTTACACCTGGTTCGCCCAACCGATAGTTGAACTGACCGGCTGGCTCAACCTACCCTGACTCTCCCCTCCCAGGAATCTCCACCCAGCTCGTTTTGGATGCAGATAAGTGCAGGATCCACGTGGAGGCTCTGGGAAGATGAAAATGCGGCCCTCCCAGAAGTTTCAGGAGTCCCGAAACAGGCTTGTTTCCGGCTTCTGGAGGGCCTCTGGGACCCAGGAGAGGCCGTTTTCTTCCTCCCAGGTGTCCAAGGGACGTCTCTGGATGCTGAAGAAGGCAAAAAATGGCCCTTCCGGAAGTTCCAGTAGGCCACGTCCACCGTAGCCACGCCCACTCAACAACCAGGGAGCGAAATGGTGATTGAGATTTTTGAATCCCACCCCTGGGCCCCTGCCAGCAAAAGTGGAGCCCGGTGCGGGGGAGGGTGTTTTCACTGGCAGAGGCACCAGGGGCCGGTCTGTTTCTGGGTTGGCCGCGTGGGCCAGATCTAAGCACCCAACGTGCCCTGAGTATGACACCCTTGGTTTAGTGACCATCCAAAATTACAACAGCACTGGGGGGAAAAAAATGACAACCAGCCCTCTCATTTACAATCTTCGCAGTCTCCCCCTGGTCACAGTATCAAAATCCAGATGCGTGGCAACTGTCGTGTACTTATGACGGGGTTGCAAAGCCTCAAGGGTCACGTGATCGCCATGTGTGACCTTCCCAGCTGGCTGTCATGCCCCTGTCGGAGTCTGAATCCGAGGAGGAAGACGAACAGCTGACAGGAAGTGGGAGGGTGGCTCTGTTAGCTGTGGAGGAAACTGGGGAAGGGCAAAGTCCGGCTGGCCAGAGCAGGGGAGAGATAGAACAAGGGAGAGGGAGTTCAGAGGAAGAACCAGGCCCACCTCCCCTCTTCATCCAAGGGCACACAGGGAGGAACAGAAAAGAGAGCAACGTGGGTTGCATGGCTTATGGAGGAGGAGTGGGTCCTGATTCCCTTCATTAGGCACACCTGGGAAGAGAGTTTAAAAGAGATGCAAGCTGAGTGAGGCAGCTGCTGGGAGCAAATGTGAATTTATCTTGTGTTGACTTTGATTTTGCCTTGATTGGACTTATAGTTACAGTTTTTGTTGACCACGTTTTGGACTTGATTCTCTGCAGCTAAAGGCTGTCCCTGGGAGAGTTTTTTTCTCTAGCCCAGAAGGTAACCAGGACATTGGGGGACCCCTACTGATTATCTGACTGTATTGCCTTTGTGCTACGTCCCTTTGGGTCATCACACTGGCTTCCGCAAGCAAAGTCGGAATGGGGGGGAAATCCAGATTTGCTTAATGGCTGCATGATTCACTTAACAACTGCACTGATTCACATAAGAATGCGGCAAAAAAGATTGTAAAATCAGTCGTGAGTCACGTAATTGTGGTCATAAGTTGAGGAGCGGCCGTAATGACTAGGAGATTTTTGGCCTCTCGGAATAGCTTAGAATAGAAACGGGAGATCTGACTCACCCTCTAAAACGACTCTTAAGAAGACAGAGGAAATTAAAAGGAAGGATTTAAAAAAAAAGGGCTATCTCTTTGGGCCAGAATTTGCAAAACTTTTACGTGGGGCTGCAGGATTAAAAGAGTCAAGATAGAGACCTCAACTATGTTAACTGAGCCCACTCCCCTTTTTAATGTGCACTGTACACTGGTACGTGCAAAAAGAGCGCAGGGCATTCTGTGGCATGGTCAGAGTTGAATTAAGGCAGCTTTAGGATGTGTGGACTTTAGTTCCCAGAATTCTTGGTGTTCCCTCATCTTAAAGTTGCTGAAGTGGACAAACGTGGATCTAAAGACTTCATTAAAATAGATGCCAAATATTTCCTTGCTCCTCCTTCCTTCCTTCCTTCCTTCCTTCCTTCCTTCCTTCCTTCCTTCCTTCCTTCCTCCCTCCCTCCCTCCCATCTTTTCCTTCCTCCCTCCCTTCCTCCCTTCCTTCCTTCCTTATTTCCTTCCTTCCTTTCCCCCTCTCTGCATCCTTTCCTTCCTTCCTTCCTCCCTCCCTCCTTCCCTCCCTCCATCTTCTTTCTTTCTTTCTTTCTTTCTTTCTTTCTTTCTTTCTTTCTTTCTTTCTTTCTTTCTTTCTCTCTCTCTCTCTCTCTCTCTCTCTCTCTCTCTCTCCCTCTCTCTTTCTTTCCATTCCTATTCTACAAGGCAATTCAAACTGAGCAAGAATTGGAAGCATTTTCAATAGGTATTTCTGGGTCTCCTTGCCAATTTCCCCAAAGGTAAACAAAGGCACAGGATGGCTTCGTGCACACACGCCCTTGTTTTCTTGGGCAATAGGATTGGAGTGGTTTGCCATCCCTTTCTTCGAATATCACATTTTGATTTCGCAACCCTGCCTAGAAGATTTCCTCATGGTCTCCCATCCAAATATTTAACCAGATCTGACCTGACTTCGTTTGATTTACGATCAATCAGGGCTGGCTAGATGCTGCCATAAATGCTCTGATCCTAAAACAATCCGCTTTTATTCCAGGATCCCCTTTATCGCTTAACCCCTGAAATCCTGTCTTCTTTCACTACCCATTGCAAAAAAATAATAATCTGCAAATCACCTTATTTGCTCTTTTCCACGATGCAGCCCCCAGCAAGCCAGCATCTTATCCTTTCTTCCCAGTGGTGGGATTCAAAACTTTTTACTACCGGTTCTGTGGGCGTGGCTTGGTGGGCGTGGCTTGGTGGGCATGGCAGGGGAAGTCTACTGCAAAATCTCCAGTCTTTCCCCACCCACTAACCTGCTTTCCAGTTCCGTTCTCCTGTGCAGGGCAACAAAAGAAGACCCAGCCAATCAGCTGGGACTCAGGAGGCAGAGAATAAACGGAGGCGGGGCCAGTCAGAGGTCGTATTCCAAACTACTCAAAATTTCCGCTATCAGTTCTCTAGAATTGGTCAGAACCTGCTGAATACCACCACTCCTTCTTCCTTATGGGGACAGTAAGCAACCAAAGCCTTTAGAGAGAGGGGGGGTTCTGAATCCCCCACCCCATAATAGTCTTCCCTTGCCTTGTTTTCAATTTGCTTTCCTGAATTTGACAGTCCGCGACGGCAACCTGACCAGACATTACAAGATCTTGAGAGACGGCGAAGGGAGGTTCTACATGAACGGAACGAGGACGTTCCCTGACCTGCTCACCCTGGTGACGTGTTACAAGGAAAAGGTTCTTACTCACGGCTTGAAACTTCTGGCGCCCTGCTACAAGGTGAGAGAGGGCTGGACACCGAATGACTTGCAGCTTGGCAACTTGAAGACTTGCGGACTCCAATTCCCAGAATTCCCCAGCTAGCAAGTTGCCCGAGCGTGGCTAAGCTGGGGGATTCTGGGAGTTGAAGTCCGCAAGTCTTAAAAGCTGCCAAGGTTGGACATCCCTGACCTACAGCTTCTGATCTTCATCTGGGGACGAGGAGAGACTGGTTTTCAAGTGTCCAACTGGCACGCTCAGTTGTATGTGGCACGCACCTGGGCGTGGCACACACCTGTGGCATGCATGTGTGGCGTACATCAATTGCATGCATTTATTGCATATGGTCTGCATTGTTTGAGCCGTGGTGGCGCAGTGGTTAGAATGCAGTATTGCAGGCCAATTCTGCCAAATGCCAGAAGTTTGATTCTTACCGGCTCACGGTTGACCCAGCCTTCCATCCTTTTGAGGTCGGTAAAATGAGGACCCAGATTGTTTTTTGTGGGGGGAGGGGGCAACACTCTGACTTGTAAAACCGCTCAGAGAGGGCTGTAAAAGCACTGTGAAGTGGTATATAAATCTGAAGTGCTATTGCCAGGGGTGGAATTCAAAATTTTTAACAACCGGTTCTGTGGGCGTGGCTTAGGTGGTAGGCGTGGCTTGGTGGTCATGTGACTGGGTGGGCCAACTCAATATCACTCACATCGAGGCACGCATCTCCTCGCCTGGCCTCTCATGACTGTGGGGATGCTGCAACAGTCATAAGTGTGAAAAATGGTCACAAGTCACTGTTTTCAGTGCCATTGTGACTTTGAATGGCCACTCCCCACAAGCAAAGTACCAGCAAAGGAAGGAAAAAACTCCAGAGACGTTCCTGAGACAGGAAGTCTAGTCCTGCCAAGAATGTAATAAGGGTTAACGGAGAGGCAGTTTCTGTAAGCAACACCAGAATGTTTCCTTCCTGCCTTCCTTACAGGATTAGGCCAGTAATTTCTTCTAACAACCGGTTCTCTGAACTGCTTAGAATGTTAACAACCGGTTCTAGTAAATAGGTGCGAACTGGTAGAATCCCACCCCTGGCTATTGCTGTTGTTTATATATGTGTAGGCCAATCTCAACCTTTCCAACATTATGATGAGATGGGTAGCGATAAAGATAGTCCTTGTTTTACAAGCATTCGTTCGTTTAGCAACCGTTCAAAGTTACAACAGCGCTGAAAAAAGTGACCTGTGGCTCGTCCTCGTACTTATAACAACTGGAGGTCCCGTGATCAAAATTCAGGTGCTTGGGAACCGGTATGGATTTACTGGTATGCATATAAAAATACAACCAGGGAGTCCTTTCTAGTATTTTTTTTTGTTTAATTCCTCCTTCAGAATGAGTGGAGCGGAATATTTGGAGGCCTTTCTAATTTTTATTGTTTTTTTAATGGTGATATTTCAGATTGATTTTTGTGCCTTGGGGGTCTTAACCCACCTTTTACCTCCGCACCACTCAATCTGCCTCCGCAAACTAGCGTTGCTATGGTACGGCCTGTGAAGTGAGCTGACCGATATCTCCACCAGGTGGCACTCTGCTCACCTTAGCCCAGCCTTTCTCTACCTTGGCTACTATATAAGTCTGGACTTCAATGCCCAGAATTCTTCCGCCCAGCCATGCTGGCTTCTTGGAGTCGAAATCCACACCTCTTAAAATTTCCACCTTTGGAAAACACTGTCTTAGCGACTGGATCTCCTTTGATGGAGGCAGCAACCGATCGGAGATGTCAGAGGAAAAATAGGATCTCTGTGGGCTATCGTGGGATGATTTAGGAATTTAACGATCCTAACCAGAGGTGGTGAATTCAGCAGGTTCTGACCTGTTCTGGAGAACCGGTAGCAGAAATTTTGAGTAGTTCAGAGAACCGGCAAATCCCACCTCTGACTGGCCCCGTCCCCATCTTTTCTCTGCCTCCCATTGAGTCCCAGCTGATCGGCTGGGTCTTCTTTAGTTGCCCTGCACAGGAGAACGGAGCTGGAAAGTAGGTTAGTGGGGTAGGGAGGGAATGGGGATTGTGCAGTATCCTTCCCCTGCCACGCCCACCAAGCCACGCCCACAGAAGCGGGATTAAAAATATTCGAATCCCACCACTGATCCTAACCACATCCTTAAACGAGGCTCAGAAGTAAATATTTCCCCGGTTGTTAGGCAGGATACAGCTGTGAAAATAATACAGCAATCTTCCCTGCTGGAAGGCTGCCGTTCTACAGGGGAGGAGGGGGCTGCCTCTTGGGGGTTGCACGCTTTGCACGCTTTCCCTTTCGCTGTATAACCGGTTGGGGAATTAGGGAAGGGGGAGGAGTGGGCCCAGCAGGCTGCCTCCTCTCCCAGCCAGTTCCAGCCTGTTCATCGCCGTCCTTTCCATCACACCTTTGTGCCATTGGATTGGCTAATTGTGGACATGGGGTACCAGGTGGGGGCCCAATAGAGGAAATTAGCTGAACATTTCCCACGGGAACTTTCAGACTCCGCCGGACTTCTCTGCAATCACAGTAAAAAAAATTCCTTTTGAAATATAGGCTGTCTTTAGCCGAACACCCTCTGCTGCCTGGAGGTTTGTCCTTGGGCGGGAATTTCAATCGGCCCCTTCTCTAGTCCATTACTGGGTTCCTTTTTCTCAGCTAGGCCATCCCCAGGACAAGGGGGGGGTTTCTCTCCATCCCGGAGGCTACTAGGAAGTCTAGCGTCTCTCAGTGGGGCCTCATTTTCGACTCCCAGTGGCGAAAGTGGCCAAGAGGTCTCCAGCGACTGAGCTGGTCCAGCTGGCAAAAGGCGATTGGGGTTTTTAGCCTTCTTGGGCAGAATCCCCCAATTCTCTACCAGGGCAGCGCTCACTAAGCATCTGGTGCACCCCGAGTCTGGAAGCGCCTTTAAGGACATTCTCTGCCTTCTCCCCGGGAATCGTATCTCTAAAGAAAAATCCTAAATTGCATTAACAGAGGGTGTCAGCCTCAAGATCTCTTCGGCTACATCTTCTCTGCTGCCAGGCTTAATTCTTTCGGCTGTCATTAGCAACAGGGGGGGAGGGGTGACTTGGGGGGAAGTTTTGCATTCCTTTACTGTGGGTAAGCAAGGGGAGGGGGTGTATGAATTCTTCTCTTCAACTTTCCATTTCCTTGCTAGCTTCTATCCCCTTTTGCGCAGCTGCGAAGTCTTATCAAAATATGTCAAGGTCAACGGACAGAGGCCTCATCGCCACCTGAAGATGCCCACATGATCATATTCAGAACTTTTAATTGGAAGAGTCTTTTGGACTTTGGCGGGGTGGGAACAATTCCATTCCTTTGTATATGTGATCTGCGCGCCAATTTCTCAGATTCGGAATTCCATCTTGTAGCTTCCGCTTTAATTTCCAGTAAAAGGATAACTTTGCTCTAATCTGTGGAGTCTTGAGTATTTCTTTCTTGGATTTTGAAGGGAGCACACACTGACATTATTCTGAATCTCACCATCAGCCCACCCGGAGAAAACACCAATTTTTCTTCCGAGGGGGTTTCACATCATGTCATCTCCAGCCAGCGATGAAGATGACCAGGGAGCTGCAGCCGATGCGATGAAGATGACCAGGGAGCTGCAGTCGATGCTGTTACCAGAGATGCCAGCCGCTGACCTGCTGGCTGACCTTACTCTGGAAGAAACCCCAGCTGAGATGCCCAGATGGTCGTTAGGAGTTGGATGGAGAGATCCGGAAGACCTCCCCCCTCCTGGAATCACTGTAAGTCGAAGAGGTGCGAGGGAACGGCTGTGGCAAGACGGGGAGGAGATGGAATGCAGGCTGGATCAAGCCGGGAAATTCTTTCTGGACGCTTCTGAGAAACCCGGCATGGCTCCAAAGTATGAGGGGGAAGCGGGAGCGAGTTCAGCCTGGGAAAGTCGGGCTGCCCCCACCCCTCTAGCCCAGCCCACGGCAGCGCAACAGCCAGCGGCCGCCCGGGGAGCCCCAGCAATAGGTGTGATGCCTGGGAGACGCCACCTGCCCCCCTTAGATGTGAAGTTTGGAGGAAATCCCAAGGATTTGGGGTTTTTCCTGGTACAAGTCGGGCTCTATATGGCAGAATATGAAAGGGAGTTCGCCTCTGAAGCAGCCAAAGTAAGATGTGTTACCAGGACCCTGGAGGGGTTGGCAGCAGACTGGGTGGTGACTTTGTATAATGATAACTCCCCGCAACTGCGGAGCCTCGATGTTTTCATGACTGCCTTGAGGAGGAGGTTTGAGGACCCTCTGGCGGAGAGAAGGGCCAGGATCAGAATGAAAACCATAACTCAAGGGGGAAGATCGGTGGCTGACTACACCCAAGAGTTCAGACAGCTGGCATACCGCATCCGAGGCTGGTCCCAGGAGGCTCTGATAGAAGCCTACAAAGATGGCTTAAATGAAGATATATACCACATGTGCATCTCCAGAAGGGATCCACATGACTTGCAGTTGTGGTACTTGCTAGCGGAAGAAGTGGAAATAGATCTAGCCCGAAGCAGACGCAGAGGAGGCCCCGCATGGAGCAACCTGCTCCCCCCACGTCTCCGAGAGACCCCTAAACCCCGAAAGGGAAGGGTGATGGCAAGAGCCAAATCTACCGCCTGTTTTCGTTGTGGGAAGGAGGGCCACCGGATGGCGGATTGCCGGGTCAAGCTGGATCCAAAGGGAGTGCGGGAGCCAGGGAGAAAGCCCAAAACCTCCCCAACCAAGCCTCGCGAAACCGGGATAAAGATAGGGGAGGTTGTCGAGGTCGCCCCTCCAACGGGAGAGGAGCTGGGACCTCCGACACCCCTCGACAAGAGCGAGACCGACTCGGAAGATGACGTCCCGGTAAGTCCTAACCAAGGGCCCATGACCATCCCAATAAAGTTAAGGGTGCCCACCTCAGGGACCGAGGGGGAGATGCTGGCCTTATTGGACTCGGGGTGCACGAGGTGAGTAATTAGCATGAAACTAGTCAAGGGTATGGGCATCGGACTGAGAACTTTGAGAACGTCCATATCCT